AAATTTGATGTTTATCACACAAACAATTAATCAGTTACTTATCGCTTTACGCAATTAGACATGATCATTCAAAATGAATCACCTAACGAATAGACCCACATGAACAAGTTGCCTAGGTTATTTAAGAAAAGTAGTACTAGTATAGTTTTACATTAAATCAGGCTTTGATTAAAAGAATTAAAGATCCGGATCTAATCATTTATCCGAAAAAAAAAAAAAAACACAAAAAGATTCATATAAGCAATCATTAAGGTTTTGGAACGAGAACGATCATTGCATATAAGTGCAGATACGTAAAGGGTGTGTATTTTGTTTTAACGTGAAAAAGATTTATACGTAAAAAAAAAAAAAGTAATAGAGATATTATTGTATAATTTAATTTATACTTATAAAAAAGGCTATATATGTATGTGGAAAGCATATCATATTCATTTCTATTACTTTTAATAGAGATATTTTTTTAATAAGTATAATACAATAATACCACCTAAAATGTACAAATTCAGTTTATAAATTAAAAAAGTAATAGTATAAATTATACTTATAAAAAAGGCAATGTATGTGGAAAGCATATCATATTCATTTCTCATGGCTTGAGATTTTCATCTGGTTGAGAAATGGGCAGCTCCATACATAGAATAAAAGGAAAGAGGCCCATTAATGTTTAAAAGAGGGCCCATGAGGATCCAGTGGTAATTAGGAAAATATGGGGCAGAAGGAGGGTCATCAAGTGAAGTCGGCGCCAAAGAAGTGAGTGGATAAGAAAATCAAAAAAGGCTCTGGCTCTGGCTCTGGCTTTGGCTTTCTCTCCTCTCTTCTCTCTCGCCGGCCGATATGGCCGTCTCCGTAGCAAACTGCAGCTTCTCCGTCCTCAATGCCTCCGTTAAACTTCAATCTTCATGCGTCTCCTCACCGTGGTGTTTCGTAGCCGCATCTCAGAAGAAGTCGTTGAATCTTAAGAGGAAATCGTCGAGGTCTGATTCATCATCTCCTATATTAAACCCAGAGGTACATTCCCCTCCAAAACTCTCCCCATTTTGTTTTTTCTTCTAATAATTGATTATGTGTGGTTACGCATTCGCTCCTATGTTGTTTTGTGAATCTCACAGACCCAGAAGAATTACCCAGGTAGAGTTCGAGATGATAGTCCCAATCCTCCTCAAAAAATGGCTTTCAAGGCCTTTGGGTCACCAAAAAAGGAGAAAAAAGAGCCTCTCTCTGATTTTAGTCGAGACCAACAGGTTTGCTATATCTCCTTCTTCTCCTAACTGATTTTCGTCGGGGCATTCTGTATTTCGTGTTTAATAATAAATAAACGGTCTAATGCCATTTCCTTCTGCAGACTGATCCTGGCAAGATTCACGATGCATCTTTTCTCAACGCTGTTGTCAAGGTTTAAACTTTCACTTCTCTTATGTTAGTTTCGTAATGAATTGCTTTCTTCTTCTTCAATTACTCTGCTTGCTTCTTCCTTCTTTGAACTACGTGCTTCTTTCCAGGTTTATTGCACTCATACTGCGCCTGATTACTCCCTCCCATGGCAGAAGCAAAGACAATGGAGCTAGCACTGGAAGGCATGTTTTTTTTATGCACATGTTCTTCCACTTTTCTCGCTTATAGGCTGTTTCATGTGTCCATCGCATCTTCTTCAATTGCAGTGCTTTTATGATTGGAGATGGCAAGCTCTTGACTAATGCCCATTGTGTCGAACATGATACACAGGTTTACTTTCCTTCTCGGACTTCATTTTCTTATTATTCTCTTCTCATTTTGTTCACTTTGATCACATATCTCCTGATCAGGTTAAAGTTAAGAGAAGGGGAGATGATCGAAAGTATGTGGCTAAGGTTTGTTTTGCACCTGCGATTATTACTTCTGCTTTGAATTAAGTAGCATGTGCATGTATTCATCGATATGCTGATTATAGCTCCTTACAATAGAATTTGTTTATTTCTCTGATAAGTTTAAAACTAAACATGTACCTATCTCTATACAATCGAAGATAACTTCCCTCTCACTTATGCTGCACAGGTTTTAGTAAGGGGTGTGGACTGTGACATAGCTTTGCTTTCCGTAGAAAGCGAGGATTTCTGGAAAGGAGCTGAACCACTGCGGCTGGGCCATTTACCCCGCCTTCAGGTTTCATCATCTCATCAGATACTGATGTATTTCTTAGTCCACTTTCAGTTTTCTTCAAGTCCCGTCCTCTTCAAATATTTAAAGAACACATTGACGGCTAAGTGAGGCATGAACAATACCAAAAACAAAAAAAAAAACAGATCTTATACTATCAAATCATAATATTACAGTATTGGATATGCTGTCCATTCATGTGGTGTGCAGTATAGGAAATTAAGTCAGTATGTGGTCTTATTGAAGCGTCCACCTAAAATTGTTATCCGTACTCCATTCCTTTTTTCTGCATTATTAAGTAAAAGGCTTAAGATGTTCTTCCCTGTTTCTTTAGTTCTCATTATCTATCTAAATACAGCTGTTCTTTATAGAGTTCCCATGTTGGCTTTGATATGCAGGATTCAGTAACTGTCGTGGGATATCCTCTTGGAGGAGATACAATCTCTGTTACAAAAGGGGTTGTATCACGTATAGAGGTTTCCCGATATCTTTGGCTTTGCTTTTATGCCGCCATTGTTGTGTTGATTTTAAGAACTTTTCCTCGTTGAAATGTTGGAAATGCAGGTAACATCATATGCTCATGGATCATCTGACTTGCTTGGAATTCAAATCGACGCTGCAATAAATCCAGGTCAGTGGATCCTTTCTTATAAACTATTTTCCATTTGATCCTAGTATCTTTCACTTTACTCTAAAACTTGCATATGACTTGTTCTTTTCTGTAGCGTACTTTTCACTAAAATTGCTTCTGAGAACCTTCATCAGTATTATTGTGATAGCCACTTCTTATACTTGTTAGATTGTAGGGAATAGTGGTGGCCCTGCATTCAACGACCAGGGGGAATGTATTGGAGTAGCATTCCAGGTATTTGCTTTGGGATTTTCAGGAATATAATACCTTTTTCTCATTCTCATTCCAAAACGTATGCCTCACAAGAGACTTCCTCTAGGTTTACAGATCCGAAGAAACTGAAAATATTGGATATGTAATTCCAACAACCGTTGTTTCTCACTTTTTGACTGATTATGAGAGGAACGGAAAGTACACTGGTAATAGTTTTCTCTTGATGTTCATATGTTCCACTGCAAGACCATTTCTAGTTGAGCCTTTCTTTTGTTAATACTTAAAAGATATTTCTCTTGCAGGTTACCCTTGCCTTGGAGTGTTGCTGCAGAAATTAGAAAATCCAGCTCTGCGGGAGTGCCTCAAAGTTCCTACAAATGAGGTAGGCTTGCTTTGTTAGTTCATCTGTCTTTTGTCTAAGGATTTGCCAACATAATGGTGGAGGATATTGAGTCTTTCTTGTTAGCAGTTTGAGTCAATTCAAGGTGATGATGTAACCTTAATTTTGTAGGGGGTACTGGTGCGAAGAGTTGAACCTACATCTGATGCAAGTAAAGTCCTGAAAGAGGTAAAGAGCGTGGATCATAGGATTGTTGCTCTAGAATTTCTACAATCAAAACTTCTCATCCTTGATTTCTGGTATACCTGACGAGTACTGATTGTTAATTCAGGGAGATGTGATTGTAAGTTTTGATGATCTACATGTGGGATGTGAAGGAACTGTACCCTTCCGATCCAGTGAACGCATTGCATTCCGTTATCTCATCAGTCAAAAGTAAATACCTCTTCTTGTCCACAGATGTATTAACTTCCTCTACCTATTCTCATACTTGGCTTTTATTTCACTGAGCAGATTTGCAGGTGATATCGCTGAGCTTGGTATCATTAGAGCAGGAGAACATAAGAAAGTTCAAGTAGTTCTAAGACCACGAGTGCACCTGGTACAACTATCTGCATCTACCATTTTAAGCATTTTGCGCGTCATGCCTAGTAAGCTAATTACCAATACTTCATTGCTTTTTTGTGCTTTTAAATAGGTACCGTATCATATTGATGGAGGTCAACCATCATACATTATTGTTGCTGGTTTGGTGTTTACTCCGCTCTCAGAACCCCTGATAGAGTAAGTTCTTCTCAGCTTGCTGAGATGCAGAAGTAAACCGAAACTTTCTTCTTTATTTTCCAAATGCCTAACTGTTTTCTGCTTTTTTTTTTTCCTTATGTATAAACAGGGAGGAGTGTGAGGATACCATAGGCGTAAGCTCACTCTACTAAACTATCTGTTAGTTTAATTTGTGAATCCACTATAACAGTTTTCGCATTCTCAGCTTGAGTCTTTTCCTTCCAATTTGCAGTTGAAATTGTTAACAAAGGCACGCTACTCTGTGGCAAGGTTCAGAGGAGAACAAATCGTCATCCTATCACAGGTAAGGCCTCAGAGGATAATGAGTTCTTAATTCAATGTGCATTTTGGTGAGTGCAACAATAATTTGATAATTCACTCACTCGACGAGTATATCTGTAGGTCTTGGCAAATGAAGTAAACATCGGCTATGAGGACATGAATAACCAACAGGTCCTGAAGTTCAATGGAATTCCTATAAGAAACATCCATCACTTGGCACATCTCATTGACATGTGCAAAGATAAGTATCTCGTTTTTGAGTTTGAAGACAACTATGTTGCTGTGTTGGAGAGAGAAGCTTCAAATTCTGCTTCCTTGTGCATCCTCAAAGATTATGGAATTCCCTCGGAAAGATCTGCTGATCTGCTCGAGCCATATGTAGATCCAATAGATGACACCCAAGCGCTTGACCAAGGTATTGGAGACAGCCCTGTGTCAAATCTGGAAATCGGCTTTGATGGACTGGTGTGGGCATAAATGTTCAAAAAAGGCGTCCGCAGATGGAAGCCACAGAAAGCTCATACAGCTTCCCCGAATTTATGGGAAAGCTTTCAGCTTTATCCTCATTCAGAAGGTCTTGAGCTGCTCCAAGTTTAGTGAATTCTTTCTTCAAAACCTCTAGGGATTGAGTTTAATAGAAAGTTTGCCATGAGAATGCTTGACCATTGTGTGCAGATGAATGTACTGCTAAAAGCATTGCCAGAATCTTGACAAAAAGTCAACAAATTATGCAATGTCTGATTTTTTATGAGAAATGAAATCCAGCAATGTCTTGTGTAATATATATCGGTGAATCACTGCTTCCTTTTTACCAATTCTATTGTCTTCATCAACTGACAATAAACCTAAGATTGTTGCAGATCAGGAAAAAGCATAACAAGTTAAAAGCTGGCACTCATTTCTATATATCAGGGGAGAGCTTCACGGGACTCTACTCTGTTTTTTTTAATTACTTCTTTAATTTTTATTCACAATATCAAAACATACAAACACTTCGACACAAATCAAAACCCGACAAATCCATATTTCATGTGCTCTGCCCTAAACCAGAGGTCCACAACCAAACCCACAAATCTTGTCTTTTACCTCCTCTATAGCTGTATACCTTTTTCTTCTCCAATTTCTCATCTTTTTTCACCTCTTAAGGTCTCTCACAAACATTCTCAGAGAAGCAGAGAGACACATACAGTAACCATGAAGGTCTCTCTGTTCACCGCCTTCACCGTTCTCTCACTCTGTTTACACACTTCAACATCCGAGTTCCTAGAGCTTCAGCTGTCCACCATATCAGCTGCACCTTCGTTTTTGCCAGAAGCTCCATCGAGTTTCTCAGCTTCTCCTCCGGCCATATCTCCAGATACCTCTCCCCTGTTCCCAACTCCAGGTTCAAGGGAAATGTCACCTTCCCCGTCAGAATCTTCTATCATGCCAACAATCCCCTCAAGCCTTAGTCCACCAAACCCAGATGCTGTCTCTCATGATCCTCTGCTCGAATTTTCTCCAGTTGGGTCACCTCTTCCTGCTTCTTCCTCTGTTTGTTTGGTCTCATCACAACTCTCATCTCTGCTTCTTGTCCTCCTCATGTTGCTACTAGCTTTCTGCAGTATCTTCTAGTAAGCATATAGAAACAGCGAGTAAGCACTCTTTTTCTTCTGCAAAAAAAAAAAAGAAAAAAGAAAAAGATTCACAATGTATTCTTACTTTACTCTCTGTTTCTTCTGAATTTTTTTCATGTAATATTAATATAGTATAGCTTCGTCGAGTGTTCGTGTGAGATTTGCTCATAAAGCAGTCTGCAGTTGGGGCTGGTGCGCAGTTGTTGTACTTTGTAACAGTGATAGTGTATGTGTTTTTTTGTGCTTCAAAGTCAAAATTGATTGATCATCATCCAATTATGTATCCCTCATCACACGACCTTGTCTGAAACTGGATTCTTGTGATTGAACAAATCAGAACAGCAAGCGTTAAGTAGGATAATTACCGGTTATAATACAGCACGGAAACGACAGGATATGTCTTAATAAACAGTGAAATCAAACACAGAAACTAGCGAAGCTAAGCTCATGAGGTAGATGAGCCAGCTAAACGACCTTGTTGCCATCGCACACAATGTAGAACAGCTTCCCGAAGAACTTGTCGAGCGGCTTGAACTCCAAAAAGGTGCGTCGCTTGAGAGAATGGTGGGCAAGGCGTCTCTTGAGGGTCAAGTTCTCGTCTTTGAGGGTCTCAAGGGTTAGAGAAAGCTGTCTGATGACCTCTCTCTTCTCTTCGTCCTTGTCTAGCAGCTGTTTCCTCAGAGCATCACTCTCTTCGATGAGTTTCGACCTTTCTTGCTCCAAATTCCAAGTCTCATCTTCTTTGTGACTAGCAAAGGGAGAGTCAAGTTCGTCATCTTCAGGGTCTGCGATCTCAGAATGGGCATCTTGAAAGTGAGAATTGCTGTCAGAAACGGAGTCCATGGATTGTTGGGGAAACTTAGAGGAGCGAGATCCGTAGTCGGAAGATTTGAGGTGGTCAAACTTCTCGGCTAAGGAACGGTGAGCTCGATAAAAGTCTTCGAGAAAGCAGATAAGCTCAGGACGTTTCTTGTAGTAAGTCTCAGCACGCTGCGCAAAAGAGTCTGCGTTGCCTTCAATCAGCTTCAACATTGCCTTTGTCTTGGCATCAAGCTCTGCACCCACCCACCAAATTTGTAAAAAAAAAAAAACATCAGATTGTTTATAATAAAATGGATCTGAGTGAACAAAAAGTAACCAGCGAGTGTTGATTGAAGCCACTGAGAGTGTTTGGAGCTCTTGTGACTCTCGAACCACCACCATCTCGATTTCTCCTCTTCTCTCACCATTTTTGTTTTTGGAGTTGTCTTCCCTAACACAACAATATATCCCATTTCAACAACAACAAAAAAAAAAATTCTAGAAACTGGAACGCAACCTGGAAGAAGAATCATCATACCTTTTCTTTTTTCAACCTGGAAGAGCGAGCGATATAATAATGTAGACTAGAGAAAAGAGAATTAACGGAGCGTAGATTTTTGTTGTTTTTTCAGATTTTGATATATCGCTTCTCGATTGATACCAGCTAGTCTCACTAAAATTTGGGTCCCCCCTTCTTCTTGTCCAATGGCTAGTCGCCA